AACTTAACCAATAAGAAGCCCCTGGTAAAGGGTGATGATATCAGAGCCCAATAATTTGTTCATAATTATTATTGGGCTTTTCTTTCACTTAATAGTATAATAAGTAGGGTTAATTGCAGTAAAAACCATAACCTTTTGTTTAATTGCAAATAAAACTCATCTTTTTTAACTTGGCAAAAAAATACTCAACCTTTAGTAAGTATTGCAAATTTATCTCGAAAACATATTCCGGCCAATTTTGCTGACATGACTGATCGGAAAAATGATGTGGCATCCACGTCAGCTTACACTTAGGACGCCACGTCATATTTATTTCTTATACATAAAATTCTAATTTTCCCTATTTTAAATCATTTGAGAAGGCATATTTTAGGGAAAAAAAAAAAAAAAATCTTCCTAAGAAGTTTCTTCCCCAAATTCAGACGACAGATTAACATCCCCTAAAATTTCCTTCTCATAATCAAACTCAAAATTGCTAAGAGACCTTGATATTCTCATAACCTTATACTGATTGGTACCAGGACTAAACCCTAACCACATGCTCTTAGTCTCCATCTTCAACCTAAGTTCCCTATCAACTTCAGGAATCAAAAGGTACTCATTCGTGACAGGGTTACACACAAGGGAACGCTCATCCCGCGCGTACCTCTTGACGAGGTAAATCAGCCCATTGCACGAATTCGTGAGGACGAAGTTGTTCGGCTCGCGCAAATTGGTACAGTAGAGCGAGACGCTGGTGCCCATCTTGAGCAGCTGGAACAAGGGTTTCAGAGAGAAATAGAGAGAGCCCCGAGCGCAGGTTGAGCTCCGGCTCGGCCAGGCTGAGGATGTGCGACGGGCCGCTGCGCTGGAAAAGGAGGATTTGGGCGGTCGTTGGATGAGTGGAGGTCGAATCTAGGAAAGAAACTTCTTGTTGACGGAAAGAAACTTCTTAGGAAGATTTACTTAGGCTTGGAGACCAAAAGATTTCCTCGCGGCGGCAGATTTGCGCAGAAGAGAAGCGGGCGCCGATCTGAGAGAAGAGAAGGGACGGAAGCGAGCGATAATTTTTTTTTTTTGTTTTTTTGTTTCCTAAAATATGCCTTCTGCAAATGATTTAAAATAGGGAAAATTAGAATTTTATGTATAAGAAATAAATATGATGTGGCGTCCTAAGTGTAAGGTGATGTGGATGCCACGTCATTTTTTCGATCAGCCATGTCAGCAGAATTAGCCGGAATATGTTTTTGAGACAAATTTGCAATACTTACTAAAGGTTGAGTATTTTCTTGCCAAGTTACAAAAGATGAGTTTTATTTGCAATTAAACAAAAGGTTATGGTTTTTACCCAAACCTGCTCAAACTTCAGAATTTTGCACACCACATTTGAACCAGTACGACAGATTTCCAATGTTGGTGATCTAATTGATTTTTTCTACTGGTGAGTATTTGATTAATTATAATAGCGTTACCATTTGTGTAATATATAAAATAAAATAAGAAAATAGTAAAACAATAAATATAAAATTTATTTATTTTAATATACATATCGAAGGAAAAATTTCATTAATGGTCTATTAATACAATTTTGCTACAGAGTTATTGGATGACTCGACTCATGAAGTCATTCACATTTATTCACCAATAGTGTATTGGCACGTGTCTTGCAATCAATACATGTCTTGCAATCAATATACATATCTTGCAATAAGTACAATTTGAACAAACGTCAATATATTAAGTAATAGATGACTCCATAAAAAACCATATGATAACTCCTTATAATTTTTGTATATTAATAACCCAAACTTCTATAGTCGCTACAATTATTGTTAATACACTTCTACGGACTACATCCGTATCTCAATTACTAATCTTTTTTTTTCGGTACAAAGAAGGAGGCTATCGCCTTATACTACGATATTTCGAGGATGGACAATCCCGAGAACATCATGATGGAGCCACGGTTTCACCCCCGTGGGAGGGTCATCAAGTATATGGAGACCGCCCGACATTGTCGATGCTAGAGATGCAAGATAATCTGCTGCAAAATTTACCTCACGGTGGATATGACGGATCTCCACGTTCCACTCTTTCCTTAAGAGCTCCTTGATACCCATAATAATGCTGCTATGAATACTCGTGTGTTCACCATTGTGAAGTACCAAATCGACGACACTTTTGCTATCCACTTCCGCAATCACCAAACGGTGTCCCAACCTCCATGCTAGATTCAAGCCTTGGAAAATTCCCCATAACTCTGCACCCAAGACCGAGCAAAACCCGATATTCATCGCAAAACCGGACACCCACCTACCATCTTCATCCCGTAACAAACCCCCAGCCGAGGCCATTCCCGAATCACGATTGAAGGCCCCATCTGAGTTTAGTTTAATGCAGCCCGCCGCCGGCCTGGTCCACGAGAGCCATCGGAGTTCTCTACAAGAAATTGCAGCACCTAAGCTTTTCGCGTGCAGAACGGCCGAAGTGCACCCTTCAACTTGTCTATCGATTGTCTATCAATTACTAATCTTAATTTGTTGATTACACCCAAAAGGATGGTAATGATTAGGCCAATCAGCATATTATTGCGCATATCTAACAGTTAGTCAATTAAGTCAAACAAAATTTTTCAATAAATTTATAACTTTTAAATCGAAATATCATGATCCAACACATAATTATATAATAATATAACATTTCATACCATGAATTTCATTTTTTTTAATTAAAAAAAAAAAGTATGAGAAGCCAACTAGCCTCACTTTTAGAAAAGACACATAATACTTTATGCAATTCAAATATATGGTACAAGTAAAGGAAATTAATTTAAAGTTGTATGGTTCAAATATATGTATCATACAAAATGAATTCATTTTTTTTTTCTCATGCCAATCAAAATGGAGTTAATTAAAAACTAATAATGTGTAGATCACCATGTTTACGTAGTTCACTCGTAAAAGATAAGCTCTAATTTAAAAAATAATTAAATAAACTTAAAATTTAAAAAAAAATAAGTTCATCATATCAAATCAAACTTATTTCCTGCACAAAACTTATTTCTCATGCTTATGTTGTAAGATTCTTGATAGAAATTTATTTTAAAAGTTATTTCATTTGACTTAACAACTAATGTTACCAAACACGTTTTTCATCTTAACAACTAGTCATAAATTATCAGCTAGAAATTCAAAACTTTTCAAGATGGCTCGGGTATTGGATGATCGACCCATCTAACATTAATGTGTGTGAGGTGGAATCTCCATCTCAACACACAAGTACTATTTGAGTTTGTTTTATTTTATTTTGACTTTTCGAAAAAGAAAATAATAATAAAAACTTGGGGCATTTGGGTCATTAATCATAAAAGAAGATATTGGCCATGCAAGATGTGTGTGGAAAGATGTAAAGAGAGGAATCAAATTCAAGATCCAGCTATTTCGCATTTTTCCTTGTCTCTTTTTTTTTTTTT